CCTAGTTCAAGGCAGGCTATCTTCCCCACAACACACTACATTTCTGCTGTGATGACTATCTGTTTACCTTTTTCATCTGAGATATTTTCATATGTTTCCAAGTGAGAATGGATATTTCAAAATTGTTTATTACATACAACAAATTGTTTCCAATAAGGGTGACATCAATATAGATATCAATGCACAGTACCACCATAGCCAACATTTTTTACACAAGGAAATTAATTTGAGATAGGAAAAAGCGCTTCAAATCAATACGTGATAGAGGAAAATCTTTCTGATGTAAATAAAGCAGCATGCATCTACCTTGTGTAGCACAATTTTCTCCCTTGGAAATCTGATGATAGAGAGTCTTGTCTATCTCCAGATCTGACTAGGTTCAAGTGAAACTCTTAGGAATTACAAACTTGTTCAGAATCTAGCATAACAGTAGGTGCTTCAGGAAGATTCAGCTAAAAGGAATGGACATGGGCTTCTGGCTTCTGATGAGGACGTGATAGCTGGAAGGAGTGCGACTCCCACCCGGACAATAAAAAGCTGGATAATCTACAAAGTCTCAACTTTCTATAATCTAGAAAGAAATTTCAAAGTAACCAACTGATATCTTTTTTTTTTTTTTTTTTTTCCGGTACAGGGAATCAAACTCACGACCTTGCGCTTGCTGGGCCGGAGCTGTGCCGCTGAGCTAAATCCCCAGCCCCCACCAACTGCTATCAAGTCTGAACAAAAACAGATTCCTGCAAAGATGGATGGATTGGACATGAATAATGGCTCACCTGTGGCTGGAGGAGAAAGACAAAGTCACCAAAGATGCAGGTATAAAGAATGCAACTATGTTTAATAAATTACTAAAATCCAAGTGTGGGATTGCATGACAGTACCTAAACCTTGATAGCTGCAGGAGGAATTTACACACACACACAAACACACACACACACTTTTCTGGATGGATTTATAATTCAGACCTAATAGAGAGAAGCCACCACAGTGGAAAGGGCATGAAATCAGATCCAGTTCCTTTACCTGTAAGGAGTATAAATCCTAAACCCTAGAGAGAAAGGTAGAAAATCCAATTGATTCTGGGGTACAGAAGAAGAACTATTGCAGTTGGGGTAAGGTAAAAAATAAAGTCCTCTATTTCCAGGGAAAGGGTAATAATTAGTGCTGGACTCAAACTATTAAACATTTATCCTGCCACTAGGAGAGGGCAGGATAACTACAAAACCGTACTCCCATGAACAAGTGGCATAGGTTCTGTTAAGACTGAAGTTGATTCCAGAAAACAGAGAACTCTTCCCTGCTGGGCACCAGCAGGCTAAGGAGCACTTAGAGTGGACAGAAATCCACCCCTAGAAGGCCAGTTTATGGAGAAAGAAACTTTTTGAGGCACACGTGGACAGGGAAAATATAAAGTTGAGAGTAAAGCATAAATATTGACAAAATCCCCAGAAAAGCACCCCCCATTATAAGCACAAGGAAGTACAGGAATCTGAACATGGTAGTAAACTGAGGGTAACCACAACCACAACATAACCCAGTTTGCCTCCTTTAAAACTGACTCAACCTCCCACATTAACTAACAAATTAGCCCATTTCAAGTTCATTTAAGGCACATCACTATATTTTTCAATTTGTACTATTCTGTACATTATGTCTGGTATCTAAAATGAAATTCTGAGCTGATTAAAAAATAAAAAAACAAGGTTAAAAAAGGCCACTTTCAAGAGATGAAGCAATCAATAAAAACAGCCACAAAGATGACTTAGATGTTGAAATTATCAGACATAGAGTTTAATGAAAGGATGACACAGGAAAAGCTTCAGTGAAAATATGAAAAGCATACATGAACAAATGCAGAATTGCAGCAAAGATGTTAACTATAAATATTTCAAGTAGATATGCTAAAAATGAAAACAATAATATAGCTGAAGAATACCTTCAGTATTCACATCATTCGACTTTGAGCAGCTAAGTATGGCATCAGTGAAAGTGAAGATATGAAAAAGCAGGACAGAAACTCAAACACGAAGAGCAAACAGAATGAAAACACACACTTCAAAACAGAGCGGTGGGCAGTGGGATAATATTAAGTACTCTACCCTACATGAAATTGGACTTACAAAAGTAAAAGAGAACAAGGCAGGAGAAATATCAAAGAGATAAAAGCTGAGAACTTCCATACAATAAAAATACGTGTTAAGCATATTCAAGAAGTTCTGACAACATCAAAATTCTTTAATCCTGACTGAGATTATCGCTGACAAATATTCTATAAACACAGGCACACACACTAACAATAACAAGAATCTCTGTACATGTTTCAGATTTAAACTTCTGAATAACAAAATGGAGAGAAAAGTCATAAAAATGCCCAGAGGAAAACTACAATGAAACAAAGATAAGAATAACAGGAGACCTCAGAAACTATGTAAACAAGAAGACAATGGAGTCATATCTTTACAGTGGTGAAAGAAGAAAAAAAACCCTACCAACCCACAATCCTACGCCCACTGTAAAAATGTTTCAAAAGTAAAGGAGAAATGCAATGTTTTTTAACATAATAACTAGAATCCCTGAACTACAGGAAATGTTAGAAGAAGTTCCTCAGGCTTTAGTTCTTTATACCAGATATAAGCGGGGCTTTGCATAAAGAAATGAAAAATTCAGGAGAGGTTAAATTGAAGATTATTTTTTATGGCTCTAAAAGATAATTGACTATCTAAATAAAAATAATAGCAGTGAATATAGGAAAAAGAATAAGTGTAGTAAACATAAGGAAAATATAGCAGTATAAGGTTATATCATATGTGAAAAAAGTATATGGCAAACACATCCATAGCACACTGAGACATTATGCAGTGAAGTGACAGAAGGTTCCTTGAAGTTACACTGCCATTAATTTAGTATATACTGAAAACTTTCATTCTTTGTTCAACCCATAAACTTTAAGAAAGTAAATTTTTTTTTGCTTTTTATTTATTTTTTAGTCCACTGAAAATAAATTTTACGATATTATCTATTTGCTTGATTTCTGTTAGAATCTTTTTGGTTTATGTATTGCACTGAGTAATTACTTTGAAGGTAAAAATACACAGTGTAATGAATATTGTTACTGTCATTATTTGGTTATGAAAATTTGCTTTTTATTAAAGTAAAAAAAAAAACCTTTGCTTTTAGAAAAGGAAATTCTCAAGCTCAACTTACCTGTTGACCCTCCTTACTTTTCTTCCTGTTACTGCTTCATTGTTCTGATAATTGATTATTTAAAAACACATCTTGTGTTTCTTAATCCCACCTTTGTTTCTTACCTTATTTCTGAGGTTATTTCTAACATTTAATGTTTGAAACAACTCTATATCTTCAATTCAGAAGAAACACACACACTTCAGGAATTAAAATATGTATAAAGCCACAGAAATGTTAAAGTTGTCATACAGAAGTGGAACTCCAGGTTATGAATTAGTTGTAGATATCTATATATAAGATGACAAAACTGACCAAGATCTTGCAATTTGTAACTAATGATTGAGCATGTGATGTAAGTAAGATAGCATACATGATATATTTGTGTCTTATTATATCATTGCATGTAGCTATTAGTTTTGTTTGACAGAACAACTCTGATCACAAAACCAGCACACTTACAGTTGCCTATAATCATCAACATTCTTTCTGCATGTAGGATCTGCCCACATGCGATTTCTGCTACACAACTTCTCTGCTGCAGGTGCTTTTGTGCAAGGTTTAAAACCATCTCTCAAAAAAAAAATAAAAAAAAAAAAAAATAAAACCATCTCTCCACTCCAAGCTAGAAAGTTGAAGTGAAAGAGAAGCCCCTTTTGGATAGCTGTAATTCCAGAGCTGAAAGTCTTGGCAAGCAGAAACTGCCCTCATCTGAATAAGAATAAAGGTCCTTCTTCTATAAAGACTATATATATATATATATATACCGTGACCAGTCCACAGTAAGATTCAGCCATGGGACAGTAATTTTGGCTTTGAGGGGAAGGCCTATGAGAGAGGAATACTACATTTGTATAGAACTTATGTAGTGTAAAGATTGAGAAAAAGCCAATTTTCCATATTAGAGAGGGTAGAAGAGTAGTTAACCAAGATGATAAGGCTGCTGAATAAACTCAACCCCAAGCCAGCCCTTAAGACTACCTCTGTTTTCTACCTAGAATGAATTAACATCATCCTCCACAACCTCACTTTTGCTTGGTTACCTCATATTTGTCCTCTTGGTATCAGTTTAATAGTCACTTTCCAGGGAGTTTGAGATTAACATTAATCCTCCATTCTAAATAAAGACCCCAAGTCTATGCTTTTATATAAGTAGGAATTTTCTTACACACAAATGTTACAATTGATATTGTTCAGTGGCTCCCTTAAAATTTCCTATCCAAGACATATGCATACTTATACACTCATAGACCATGAACCCTAGAATAGCAGAAACATTGTGTTTTCATATTATCCTAGAAACTATTATACTGCCTGGTAAATATTTAGTGTTAAATGCATTATCATTAAATATATACAGGATTTTTCTTGTTAGATATTCAGCAAACTTTGTCACACATATATATATGCATCTGTATATAACTTGATATAGTATAATATGAAATTTCTCCTTTTAATAACATTCGTTTTAAATTTGAATATGGGTAACTAGGATGTGTACTATAAAACAAATCATATTTTTATTTGGTCACATCTTGCTTTAATTAATTCCCTTTGCCAATGTGACATTAATTTGCTGCTAATAACTTTTAGTTATCATGTTGGATTGGTTGGTTCACTATAGAATAAGCAACCCATTCATTTTGCAATAATAAGCAATTATTTTTACAGATGTCGTTGAGCTATCTAATTTGATTCATCTCTCAAAGTGAATACTATGTACAGGCATTATTTAACTTGCAATCTGAGGATTGGGGTTTGATTTACAGTTATTGTTGTTCCTAGAAATAAAGAATGAATAATCTAGTTCAGCTTACCAAATAGATTCTTCCATAAGTACCAAAGCCGATGCTCTTATCTAATGAGAATATTCCAGTTGGATCCTGCAAAAACACAGAACAAAAATTGCCAATCTTTTCTGTTGAAACTCATATCTGCCTTATTTCTTTAGAAGTAACATTGGAAGAACCTAAGTGTCATTTCCCAAAAGAATAGACATGTCAGAATTTTCATGGAATGAGTGTGGTCATTTGTAAAAGGCAAACAAGTATATGGGCATTGGTAATTTTGTAACTAATCATGAATTTAAACCCCATGCAATTATGAAAACCTGAGGTACACTCATGATACAATTAGAAAGATAATTGCAGGTGAAATAAGTTCATTTACTGGCTATTGAAGTAATCTTTTAACATCTAGTTTTGAGTGCTAAGCAGACAGGTAAAAAGCTTAAAGTTCAGCAGTGAGGAGAGGACATTGAAAATAAAGTCTGGATGACTTATTTATATTACCTGAAATCTAACAGAAATATCACCTCAATATATGAATAACAATACAAGATGATGGCATTAAAAGAGCATCATCTAGAAACACTAGAGAGCAGCACAGCCCCTGCCTGGTACACACAAGGTCCTGAGTTTGGTTCCCGGTATCAAAAATTAAAAAAAAAAAAAAAACCACAAGAAAGGATTAGTTTTGTATATTTTTAAGCACTCATCTTTTGAACAGCTGAACGTCTTTTCATGGCATAAATGATATTTTCTGAGACAGAAGTTTAACTATGGTATCATAAGAACCAAAATATATGTATGGACAGCATCCTAAAATTTCCATATTCATCCACAAGCATTATTTCCTTAAATGGGTATCCTTTCCTTGCTTATCACAAAACTTGGTTTCCTGAACTTTATTACCATTGAACTCTTACACCAACAGTTCATTTTAGTAAAAGATGTATGGGGTATAAGGAGATGCCAATTTATATGCAGAATTGTGAAACATTGGAAAATTCTTGGAAATTCATATTACTTATAGAACATGAATGTTTAATCCTCTTAAAAATAGTTTATCACTGAAAAGTGTAAGCTAAGAAGAAAAAGCATTGAGTATATGAAACATATATCAAGGAAATTATATGCTTAAAATGGCACAGTATTCATGTAATATGGCAAAACTGCCATAGAAAGATGATAGTTTTGGCACTACTTAGGTCAACAAGTATTTCAGCAAGTCCAAGTCAGGAGACTTAAGTTTTAGCCCATCTTTGCCTCTAGTTAACTATATAACTTTTTGGCTAAGTTGTGTACTTTTGCTGGGATTTAGGTTTCACACATATAAAAGGAAAATGCTGTGCTAGGTGATTTTCAGCTCTAAAATTCTATATAAAAATTTCAGATTCTATCATTCTACAGTCCATGTGTTTCCAGTGGATTCATAGAAACATTGTTAAAGTAGTGGCCCAGCAACATACCTGCTCAAAACAATCATCAAAATTAATGTCACAAAAGATTAAATTATAATTATCATCAAATATTTCATGAAATATATGCCTCATGAAAATGTATATTTTTTTAATTAACCATTTTTAGGATTTGAGAAGAAAACATATTGTTGCAGTGGTATCGATACTGAGCATATCACTTTTATTATAATTCATTCCAAGATTTATGGGGAAAAATAAAAAATACAGGAGTTACTAAGCACAAGATTAAAAACTTTAACACTTTAACATATTTCTTTGAAGGATATTCTTGAGAAATTTTACACAAATAATTCTGCACAAACAGCCTCTGGTCCCATTCAAAAGAATCAAACCGCTAGGTGACGCGTATTGGTAAATTATTTTATGCTGCAGTTAAGGCTGAGTTTTAGCAGGAAAAGATACCATATGTTTGAAAATTACTGTATTGCCTACGCAACCTTTATTTCTTAATCTTCAAGCACAATCTTAAAATTTCTTTAGTCCTGTTCCTAGCTTTTAATAACAGATGAATCTTATATTCAGATTTGAATTCAGTTGTCTAATTCTTTAAAAGAGAAGCCAAGGGAATTTCTAGAATAATAAACTGCTTGTGAAAATTATGGAGGCCTTAATTTATTTTCAATTATCTTTTATGGAAATTTTTTCCCAATCATAAATATTCAAACCACCTTAATTCTCCTCATTTTATTAAATGTAAGAGCTGCTCACATTTAATATAAAATTTTTTAAATTTCTTGTTTAAAATGCATGTCAACCTATGAGTCATATATACTGATTATATTTTTTCATTGGTTTTATGTAATTTTTTATTTTGCATCTCCATGCTACTATCTTTCCAGGCTCAATTGTTGCCAAGTTCAAGAAGAAGAGGGAAGAATCTCTGCTAACTACTAAGGTAATGATACCCAATATTTATATTATATTCCCCATTTTCAGAAAAATTATTTTCAGGACTCCTGAGAAAGGAAGCATTGAAAAGCAACTCTGATTTTGCTCACTATGAAATTAAAAAGTCCACATTAGAGGCACCTCCATATTAGGTGGTCCTCTCTTCTACCCTGCCACTTTGAGATAAGAAAATCAGATGAAGGAAACATTTCTATCATTGTTATATTAATGTGAAGATTATCTGGACATGTGGCATGCTTCGGCATCTCATTTCGATAAACATAGTGATCAGTGAAGTAGGATCCCCAAGTTCTAAAGCCTTTTTTCTAAAAGAGATATTACTAAGTATCTGTCTTACGACATTACTGAACCATCATATCAATAAAAATTGAAATATTTTTATTTTTGTCATATTTTCTATGTAAGTATAAGCTATCTTCTGAAATTTACCGGTCCTATCTGGATGCTCCCACGATCCTAAAATTTTGTAAAATTGTTTCTGCCTTCTGAATTCAAGAGGAAAAGAAAGAACAAGCACCTTGATAGAACCAACGTTCATAAGAATTGGGTAAGTGGAAGCAAAAAGAACCACTAGAAGGCAGTGTTTACTGGTCAAGGAAGAAGCCTTCAAAACTGGTTCTTACCAAGAAAACCAAATATGGTAGTGTTTAAGCAGAAAATTAAACCAGGAAGTGGTCAACATAGGTAACAAGAAATTTCAATTATTGGAAAATAAACAAGAACAATGAATGAATATGTACCAGTAGTCAGACAGCAAAAGGAAGGAGACTGCACACTACCAAGAAGATAGCAGAAGCTTTTCTTCTTAATTTTAAATATGAGAAGCAGTGACTTTATGAAAATATTTTCTAGAGAGAGAACCTAAACACAGTGGGTACAATAGGATAACTGCAGAGTAACATTCAGAATAGTAGGAGGACTTGGCCTCACTATTCAAGTAGACAGTTTAGAAAGGAATATCTCTTCCAATAGATCAGTGCTTCTCAAACTATGGATTTCATAGACTCTCCTTATATGAGAATCATGTGGGAATCCTGTTAAAAACAGTTTCCCTTGGGCCTAAAACGGAATTATTAATACAGAATATCCTGGGATGAGTCCCTCAGAACCCCAGGTGATTCTTTACATTGATCTCATGTGCTAATTTATACAGCACACTGCTCTAGCAACTGGGAAAATAAATACTTAAAAAATAGACTGAAGTACAATGCTAAGCTGAGATGATGTTTTATATGTAATGAAGGATAGGCTGAATGTTTAAAACCTTGTGAATTTAAAAATAAAAACGCTTCCCACCAAGAGCTAAGGGACTTAGCAGAGAGGTAAGTTTCTTATGATTGAATGTGGAAAGCAGGTTTGGTTTGGGTAATAGACCACTAGTGGAGCTGGCAGTTATATTTAAATATAAACAAAATGTGGGGCTGGGGATTTAGCTCAGCAGCAAAGCGCTTGCCTGGCAAGCACAAGCACGTGAGTTCGGTTCCCGGTACCGGAGAAGAACCAAAAAAAAAAAAAAAAAAAAATTTAATTCAAATATATTTTTGGATCGTTTCAAATTACTCCCACTACTACCACTACCACTACTGTCCTTAAGGACTATCTAATCCTGACCTCAATATAGATTAGGACTACACATGAGAGTGTCAAATACCAAGGGCACAACTATGAGGAATGCATATATTATCACACTGGGTTTACAAAGCAAAGGGACAATCAGAGTGAAAGACTTGCCAGATTTGGAGATGAAGAAATATTTTCCAGTCCCAAGGATTGAGTGACACAGGCATACTTAATAAATAAATAAATATGTATAAATTTATAAATATGTAAATATATAAATACATTATAAATATATATATAAATACATTTATATATATATAAAGAGAGAGAGAGAGAGTGAGAGAAGGGGGTATACACACTCCTGGGTATTCCTGGTGGGAAAGGTGGAAAAATGCACACACTCACATATTATAAAGATATGTACAAAGGCATAAGGCTTTACAACTCTTTACACTTTCGTTTTTGGTTTTCACCCATAGGAAATATTTATTCAATTGAAAATCTGGAAAAATCACAGCATGCCATTGATTAACAAGCATGATGGATTTGACCTATTATTTATTAGGTTTGCTCATTTTATCTCTCCAGGCATTATTGAAAAAAAAATTTATAATTATATGAAAATTAACTTTATTTGTAAAAGTTATATCATTTCTTCCTCTTCCCTGATTTCCCAATTTGCATTCCTGTTTAATATTTTAGGTTTAGAAATATTATCTAATAAATATACCAAGTAATTTTCCACCACTTTCTTTCAATCCCAATTTCCATAGCAAGCTTGTCCTGTCTCAAGGGTTTTTATCTGACTGTTATTTAGCTGATCAGCCCTACAGAGTATATAATTTATCAATATCAAACTACATTCATGTTTAATTATACTGTACTTCTCTACTGTGCAAAATTCTTTTTTATCAATTTGAAAGTCTAAGGTTTGACTTTCTTCTCATTATCTTGCTATAGCCAAAATGTTACACTGCACTTGATACTGATAGATACCAATATTGTGAACTTCATATGTGTCCTATAGTGGGTGAATATTACAAGGAATGCCACCACATGCATGTTTCTTTGCTGACGCTGTCATCTTTCTTAGCATCAGATTAAACTTTTACAAAATTTAGATGTCTTTTTATCTCTTCACTTGTTTTTTACTGCTCCAAAGGCTTGGGAAATAAGTCACATGTGAAGCAAGATCAGATTACTGAGATATACATGAGTGACCAAAATAACAATAACTTTCATATCTCTAAAATTTAAACATAAAGGAAATTCTGAAGGGCATTCTGCTGCGCTGATAGATTTCTTAGGATTTATGTCTGGGTGTTTGTGGAGAGGGAAGAATTGTGCATAATTTGCTCAGATGGTGAAAACAAACAGCTCCTGTATAAAATTTAGAAATTTAGGAATTTTTAGAAGATGAAAACCTTGTGAAACGTTCCTTAAATTTGTAAAATAAAGCATAGCACCAGTACCTGAAGGTTCAGTGTCTTCACTTCCTTAATACTACAAACCAACCTCACCTTTCTCCTTTCCCCACACACTTTCACCCCCATACAACCTCCAAAACAGTAAGATTCCACTGAATTGCAATGCAAAGATTGCAATCTTTTCGCTTATCTTCAGGGCTCTCACCAATTTTTGGTGTCCCAGGGCCATGACTGTCTAGGCCATTTTGCCTTGTTTTTGTGGGAAATAAAACTTTTATTTTTTCTTCTTGGATTTAGAATTCCTTGCTCTAGGAGTCTTTCCAATTCCATCTATCGTCATTTTTAGAAAGGGGCTCATTTCAGTTTGTCTGTATATGATTTCACATATCTACCCTAGTTTGCTTTTTACTCTCCTTGCACTATGCACTGGAAATGCTGAAGGAGGGTAATATTTCATTCTTTGATTTTACACTCTAATGTGGGAGCCACTCTTTCTGAATATGAGAATTCTGTTCAGAAAGTGACTCACCAACTGATACACCCGTATTCCAGAAATCTCATGTACACACACAAAAGGCAGGGATTTCAGGTACATGCAGGGTGGAAACAGATTTCTAATAAATGCTGTGATCTTATTTTATGAAGTTACATCAGCGATTATAATTATAATTTTTGTAAGTCAATTTTTCGGTTTTGTTTTCTTTTGTTTTTGGTACCAGGAGTCGAACGCATGACCTCATGCTTGCCCAGGCAGGACCCGTGTCCCTGAGCTATATCCCCGACCCTTGTAACTCAACTCTTTATTCAATTTTATTTATTAAGGAATGAAACAATTTGCTAAAATTTTACACATGTACATCACTTTCTCTTACCACATGCACCATTCTAGTGTAAAATTATACAAGGAAGCTTTAAGAATGCACAGTTTTGGAAGAGGAAGGTATCTGTCACCAGCAAGCATACAATCTTTAAATTCTAAATAAGTGTAAAATTAAAGAAAGGTTACTTTGAAGAGTCCTATAACTTCACCGCTAATATTTAGCTTTTTGCAAAACCACCAGGCCACTGCCCTGAAATATAGATGTCTGGTTATCACTCCAGCAGGGTGCCTGCTTATTTCCCTTTTGGAGAGTCAAGGACTCTTTGCACTCAAAAGAGGGTTCCAGTGAAGTGCCAGTCTAAAAAGGAAACTTCAAAAACGGATTTGGCTACATAGAGAAAATGTCCCACTGTTTAGAGCCCACTGCCACCTCTCCTCCCCCACCTTGCCTCTGCCTCTTCCCTTTGCCTTGAGGTGGAGTTTGGGGAGGCCTCCTTCCCAGGGGGCATCTATGCCCCCAGTCTGTTTCCTGAGTTCCCTCTGGTACCAGCTATTCTTTCAAAGTCACCTCAGCCTGCCTTCAGGGAGTCAGCTCCCTCCCCTGGTGCTAAGAGCGCTTCAGAGTCTGACAGACTCCTCTACTCACCGGCAAGTGGCCCAGATCTGTGATTTCCTTGTCTCTCCAGCCCCCAGGTCCCGCCATGGCTTCAGGAAAGAGAGCTGAGCGCAGGCAACTTCAGCTGGGCGCGCTCTCCGGCAGCCTGAGGTGGAATCAAACAAGAAGTTGAAGTCTGGAGAGGGAAAGTGGGAGGGCGGGAGACAGAAGTGGGGATTGGTTTTGTGGCTGGGAGATAGAGGAGGAGAAAGTGGAGGAAAGAGAGCTAGGAGTGGAGGGAAGCCAGAGTTTGAGGGGCGGGAAAGCAGAAAGCGAGTTTGCCTAAGGCAAGAGAAGAGTTCGCGCGTCAGACCCGGAGACGAAGAAGTAAAAGGTTGCTCCTAGGCGAGAATGCAGGGTCTGTACAGGCTGGATGCACCTCTTTCAGGGTGAGGAGTAGGGCGGTGCAAGGAGAAGGGGCCTAGGAGCAACTGGAACGGGATTGGTGCAGCGTCACTTGGCCAGGTGGGCAGCCGAGAAGCAGGGAGGCAGCGCAGGGGTCCACAGGCCAAGGAAGGTGCTGAAGGACTAACGGTATGCGAGCTGGCACTGGCTTTTCAGAGCCTTCACACCGCCCCCGCCTACTCGCCCCCCCTTCCTCCCGCCCCCTTCCAGGTCCATTGCTGCTCCTGCAGCCCCTGCCCCCGCCCCTGCCCCCGCCCCTGCCCCCGCCCCGCCGGCCGGCAAGCATTCTGCGGGAAACTTTTTCTAGGCAGCTGCTAGTCCCAGAAAACGGTCCCGTTCTCCACCGCTACCAGTATGCGCCCCACAGTTGTACTGCAGTCCAAACAGCTCATCCCGCGCGCCCTCGTTGCCCCCAAGAAACTTTTCTAGTTGTCCATTTTCTCTTTCTGCCCCTTTGATTTTATTGCTCAATTTATTGCAAAACCTCATCGACTTAGAAAAGGAAATGACTTCCCACCGGATTAGGGATCAGACCTAGGCAAACTCTGGTGCGAAAGGAGGAGCGGAGCCCTAGGGCCGCCGCAGCTCAGCCTTTGAAGTCGCTAGCCCTGAGCAGAACAGAACAGGACAGAACTCTTTTGAACTCCCCTGGAGGCAGGTGGCATCTCCTTGCCCCAGGGCTGGTGGTTGGTACCAGTCGGAGGCTGCTCACTGAAACTGCACCTGTGAACAAGTGGTTGGATTTAAGAGACACTGAGTGAATTTTTGCAGCCCTGGCTGCCCAGTTTCTAAATTTGCAGACGTTCGCTAAGGGAGGAGAAAGTTTCTCCAAGCTCCTCAGCGTGGAGGCTGAGACCCGGTTTCATTCATTCACTCATTCATTGAAAAACATTTCCTGGCATCCCAAGGTAGTTCCCTCCGTTTCTCCTCAAAGCCACCAGGGGCTGACAACACGATTTAAAAGGGTGGGGCAAGCGCGATGTAGTCTTTAGTAAGGCTCCCCTGGAAGCATTTATGTGAAAGGGTGTCAGTGTACAAAACTAACTGCGTTCTAAGCTCTTGTTCAATAGCACTTTAGAAAATGTCCCCGAAGTTGCTTACTTTTCTGAGCTCACAGCCTGGGTTCCCTGTCCCTAAAGGCCAGTGTGGGGAGTGCGATCTGAGGGGTCTGCTTCCTTTTCTTTTCATATTAAATGTGTTATGTCCTTTAAGCAAATTTATAAGAACAAAAACAATTCTTTCCCCTGTCCTGAAGCTCTCCATTTCTGAGCCATTCTTGCAATTTTATAATTATTGTCCTTCTATATTCTTGGATTTTATTAATTTTGTGTTAGCTTCAATGCCTGAGGGACCTCTTTACATTCCTTAACCTCTTAGACTCTGGTGAGCTTTGTAATAGCCACAAGCTGTCTTAGAAACCACAGTCACCCTAAGTAAAGAAAATTAAGGACTCTGGAGCAAACCAACAACCACCTCCGTTCAAAAACAGACCTGGGTGCTCAGGATCGAATGTGCTCCTGAATTCAATAGGATGTATACCATTATAGAAATTACATTTTCCAGGAATTCAAAATCTGACAATTCCAACAAACAAAATCTTGTCCCTATTTAATATTTTAAGAATTTATGGATGATCAGTAAAACTATTCTGGATCTTCTTAACTATGAGTCTGAAACTTAATATTTCATAACTACAAAAAGAGCAACAAGTGAGCTCATTAGTAAAAAGCTACAATTCCACATATATACAGCCAGCTTTTAGAAATCAAATCACAGCGTCAAGAAATACAGCATTTAAGGGAACTCTGAAGATAATCTTCGCTAAAGGGAAGCCATGTTCCTACATTACTTTAAAAAGAAAAAAATGTGGTTTGGTGAATGTAGGGTGTGTGGAAATGCCTCGTGGTCCCTCATGGAAGACTGTTTTAGTCTGTCTAAAGGAGCAAGTCCAGACCAAGCAAAAGAATCCAGAGTAGGGGGTGGGGATTTAGCTCAGCGGCACAGTACCTGCCTGGCAAACGCAAGGTCGTGAGTTGGATTCCCGGTACCGGAGAAAAACCAAAAAAAAAAAAAAAAAAAAAAAAAAAAAAAAGAATCCAGAGTAGATCATTGGGCCCACTAGCTGTAAGGCTTAGTGGGAGACTAGCAGCTTCCTGACTCCACAGGGATTAATCACATTGCCAGGTGGGATACTCCACTACCAGCTCAGGGTGGAAGAAAGGGTATGCTAAGTGTTTGACCAGAAGTTGACAGAGAACCAAAAAGAAATTTTTAAGTTATTATTTTCAAGGACAAAGGAAGCATGGAAGAGCATGGAAACTTTGCTTCAAGCTGGAGTTATAGGGATTTTTGTGCCCGATTTGGGATGATCAGCAGGGCTAGCCAACTAGAAGGCAAATAGATGGCCCCCAAACATGAAGCTCAGCTTTGAGCACGATCTTGAAATAAAGCTTTCATTTTCCATTTTTAGGACTTCTTTTCCCTTCACCTTGAAAGCAGTACCTTCCTTTCCTCTTCCCACATGTTTGTTTTTTTCTCTTTCTCTTCTGACCTCAAACTCTACAAACATAATCCTACTCTTCCCAGGGTCCAGGAATTTGTAAGATTGTTTTTCATCCAGAAATAGTCCCTCTGCCAATGTTTAATGTCCCAGATTTATGCCATCTCTTACTTCTCCAATCTATTCTGTTACCTGAAGGTCCTGAGCCCTTCATAATCTTGGATTGTTGGTATTAGTTAATAGCAAAACATTATTGAATGCTTACTGTATGTTCCAGACTAACTGTTTGCATATATTCTTTCCTTTAATTTTCTCAAAATTCTTTCCAGGTTATTAATCATTATCCACATTGCTTAGGTAAGGAAATTGAGGCACAGTGAAGGGAAGTAACTTGCCTAAAGTCTGACAGATAGTGATTGGAGGATCCGGGCTTCCAACTCAAACAGTCTGATTCCACAGCCCACTTGTCAATGACTGTTGAAGGGCTGGTGTGTATTTTGAGACTCTGTGAAGAGATGCCAAATTCAAAAAAGTCTTAGGGTAAGAGAGATCAGATGACATTAGGCCCCTGAGCTATCCAGTTCCCTTTTCCCCCTTTCAGCCCTCAAGCCCTCCTAACAGAAATAACATGGGCTTTATAAAAAGAAATGAGACCCAGTCATTGCCCAGTAGTAGCCAGCACTGCCTAAGCTAAGATCATCAAGTGGATCACCTCCTAAGGAAAAATCATGGCTTTCAATCTTAGGAAACTTCCAGAAAAAAAAAAATGACACTTTTCAATGCTTTAAAAAATTACAGTCCATTGCTATTCCTTCCAGAGAAATTTATTGGCTGGGAACAAACTTTACTCAATGAGGACTTGAAGTCGCCTGTGTTTGCAAGAGAGCGTGCATAACAGAGCTCAGATACTAAATGGCATCTCTGCGGCCAGTTATCTAAACTTGTAGGAGTGCTATAAACATGGTATCAAGGGCAAGGATTTGATTCCCCAGGGGGCCAGTTACATACTGTCTGTGTCCTTTGACCCTTGATAACTCTTAGTCTCTTGCCAGTTACTGTGCCTTTTACTGGAAAAGAGACTTCAAAGTTACTACTTTTATCTTTATATACAAACAACTATGCATTCATTTTTTCATGGAATTGACTAATCATGGTAGTCTGGAGAAACTATCCTACAAGGACATTTATATGTCTTGAGAAATATATTCAAAAGATTCTTGGCTGCTTCTTCTTTTTTACTGACATATTTAAGATTGGCAATATATCTGAATGCACATTTATTTTAAAAATAAGAATCTCACAAAATGCTTTATTAATTTTTCAAGTATAATATCCTTTTTACTTTCAAGAGATCCATTTCAAGACCCTCAGTAGATGCCTGCAAACAAGGTTAATACTGAATCTTATATGTCTATGTTTTCCTTGTGCATGCGTACTTGCAACAGAGAATAACTGATTAATCAGGCTTGCAAAAAGATTGACAACAATAATTAAAATAGAAAAACTACAACAGTGGGAATTATTTATTTATTTTATTTATTTTTTTTTGGTTTTTTTTTTTTGGTTTTTTTCCGGTAGGGAATTATTTAAAACTTAAAATTTTTATTTAGGAAATTTACAACTTCATACTTTTGGACTATGGTTTACCATGGGTCACTGAAATCAAAGAAAGTGAAAAGGCCAGATCAGGAATGAATACAACAAAAAGGTCTGTTTATTGGCTTCCTTTTCCCTGCTACATCACCTGTGAAAATGAACAAGTCTTGCAAACTTATGTTAATGCAACTTTGCTGCTTATAGGATTGGGTCTTGGGTGAGAATGGTGAAATAAAGTTATATAGCAATCTTCTTGGAAATGAAAGAGTAACGTATCTGTGATTCCAAACACTCCAGGTCCAGTATTTTCAAATACATTTATAAGCAGCAGGTATGGTCTACCTAAAAAAAGCCTCAAGAAGTCCTAGTAGAAAGACAAAGCTTCCTTAGGAGCCACCAGGTAAAGGTACTTCTTGAGGTTTTCTTTGTTTATGGAGACACCTTTGCAATGATAGCATTTCTACCAGAGTTTGAACCACTCTTGCCACCACTCCTCTTGGTATTTCTTCTGGGCCACTCCTCTGAGGACAAAGCAGCAACCCACCTA